TGAAACAATATGAAACAACATGAAACAATATGAAACAATATGAAATAATATAAATCAACATGAAACAATATGAAACAATATGAAATAATATAAATCAACATGAAACAATATGACACAATATGAAACAATATAAACCTGTACAGTGAGAGCTGAAGGTCTCATGAAACAAACACAATCACATCATCTGCAAAGAGCAGAGATGTAATTCTGACATTATATTATATGGAATAATGTTTCATATTTTCCAGATGTCCAGTTTAATATGTGATGATGTCAGCGTCTTTCATCAGCACCTGTAGCTACAGGGCTACAGGTGCTGTCTACAGGTGAGCCTGTCTACAGGTGAGCCTGTCTACAGGATGTCTACAGGTGAGCCTGTCTACAGGTGAGCATGTCTACAGGATGTCTACAGGTGAGCCTGTCTACAGGTGAGCATGTCTACAGGATGTCTACAGGTGAGCCTGTCTACAGGATGTCTACAGGTGAGCCTGTCTACAGGTGAGCCTGTCTACAGGTGAGCATGTCTACAGGTGAGCCTGTCTACAGGTGAGCATGTCTACAGGATGTCTACAGGTGAGCCTGTCTACAGGATGTCTACAGGTGAGCCTGTCTACAGGTGAGCCTGTCTACAGGTGAGCATGTCTACAGGATGTCTACAGTTGAGCCTGTCTACAGGATGTCTACAGGTGAGCCTGTTGGAGTCCTCAGCTCCAGACTTTAATTATTCATGTGTGAGAAGAAGTGCCTCGCTGCTCCCAAAAGGCTCAGTGAATTATTAACATCATCATCCTCCTCCTCTTTGTCGTCATCAGCTGTGCTTCTGTATCAGTGTGTGTGTGTTGTGTCCACAGTGACTTCCTGTGGTCATCCACTATAAAATCACTAATTAAACCTTTATACATATTTATATGTATAACTTATGTATACTGTTTATAAAAAGAGAATCTAGAGACTGTTTAGAGTTTTGGATTCATAAAGGACCTGCTGGTCTGATGCCAAACTTAATCTCTGTATTATTGTATTATTATTATGTCTTATATTGTTGTGAAAGTCCATGAAACACAAAAATATATGTTCATATGTATTTTGTGGGACGGAGTGCCTACCTCAAGCGAAGGAGTTCAAGTATCTCGTGGTCTTGTTCACGAGTGAGGGTAAGATGGAGCGGGAGATCGACAGACGGATCGGTGCGGCTGCAGCAGTAAAGCAGGCGCTGCACTGGACCGTCTTGGTGAAGAGGGAGCTGAGCCGGAAGGCAAAGCTCTCAATTTACCACTCGGTCTACGTTCCTACCCTCACCTATGGTCACGAACTCTGGGTCGTGACCGAAAGGACAAGGTCGCGGCTACAAGCGGCCGAAATGAGTTTCCTCCCTAGGGTGGCCGGGCTCAGCCTTAGAGATAGGGTAAGGAGCTCGGTCATCAGGAGGGAGCTTGGAGTCGAGCCGCTACTCCTTCGCGTCGAAAGGAGTCAGCTGAGGTGGTTCGGGCATCTAATTAGGATGCCTCCTGGACGCCTCCCACTGGAGGTTTTCCAGGCACGTCCAACTGGGAAGAGACCCCGGGGAAGACCCAGAACACGCTGGAGAGATTACATCTCCCAGCTGGCCTGGGAACGCCTCGGGATCCCCCAGAATGAGCTGGAACATGTTGCCGGTGAGAGGGAGGTCTGGGTCGGCCTGCTTGACCTGCTGCCACCGCGACCCGACCCCGGATAAGCGGTGGAAAATGGATGGATGGATGGATGTATTTTGTGACGTCACAGAGCGTCGTGACACGACTGAACTGTTTCAGTTGCAAACTGATGCTAAATAACCAGAAGTGTCTGCAGCTGCAGTTCCTCTAAGGACCACTAGGTGGTGATGTGATCAAGCTTTGACTGATCTTCTCTTTACAACTAACTTCTTCCTTGATTTTGAAGATGTGACCTGAGGAAAAGGTTCATGAACACATGGTTTTTTATCTGATGACGTGGTTCCACATCTAGCAGCAACATGACCCCTCATGAGGAACCTGAGCACGGTAACTCAGCTGTCATATTATTAAATATATGTATATGGAGGAGAAGTGTGGATCCAAACTGGAAATAGTCCAGTAAAGTAACTGAACCTGTAAAGTGAACTGGTTTCTGTTCCTGTCTCAGTCCTCAAGTTTCCAGTCAAACGTTTTCCTTTCCGCTCTGAATTTTTCAGCACGATGACGTTGAGCGGTGGTTTGATTTTCCTTGCAGGAGGTTACAGGACGAAAGGGCTAGAGGACTACAGAACTACAGGACTACAAAACGACATAACTACAGAACTACAGAACTATATAACTGCATGGCTACATGGCTACATGACTACAGGACTACAGAACTACAGGACTACATAACTGCATGATTACATAACTACAGGACTACATGACTACATAACTACACGACTACAGAACTACATGACTACATAACTACAGAAATACAGGACTACAGGACTATATAACTACAGAACTACAGGACTATATAACTACAGAACTACAGAACTGCAGGACTACAGAACCAAATGGCTGCACGACTACATGACTACATAACTACATAACTACAGAACTGCAGGACTACAGAACTGCATGACTACATAACT